CCCCAAAACCCCAAAACCCCAAAACCCCAAAACCCCATTGAAAGTTTGTTCAATATTTGGGAAAAGAGTTATTAAATAAAATTCTATTTGCTTTTTTAAGATCTCCATATTACTTAAAATATCGCAACTCATAAAATACCCTTGTAAGCTCATAACTACCTTTGTTTCCAAATGAGAGATTAGACCAATTTATTTAGGTTCTCAAGGATTTACTTTTCTCTATTTTCTCTTTTTACGAATTAGTTTTTCTTTGTATTCTCGCCATTAATAAAGGTATGTCTCATAGTTTCATCTCCATCAGCAAACTAGCCGAACTAGCTGTTTTTAAGGACGTTGTTAACTGCTTCACTCATATCATCATTCTAGTTCTTTATTTGTTATATTCTTTGGCGTACTTTATCCTCTGATAAATCATTTGATTTCATAGCTATCTTGCTAATATTACGATTGAAAGAATCAGGATTAAGATACCATTTACCATAGTGGACTAAACGATCTCTATACTACTACTTAGCAATCATTTAAGGTGATTAGTTTTACTTCGTTTCTATTGAAATAGATTTACCCCTTTTTTATAGATTTATTTTAGGAATATTTATGTGGACATTTGAACTTGAGAAGTTATTTCCATATTTCTCCTCAAGATCTTGAATTTTTTGGAATGAACCTTATTCATTCCAATTAGAATGGTTCTTTGGAGTTTTCTCAGGCAAAGCCTTCGGGGTACCTTGGTTCAATCCTAGACTATTCTTTATATCCTTTATAACAAAATACATATTTTGCGACCAATTCTACTGTTATTCTTGGAAATACTCTGATGATGGATGGAGTTAAGATTAAGCTTAAACCCTGATTGAAGGTTGGTTTTCCATTTTTAATTTTATTTGTTCCGTCAAAAAAGTGTCAGTATTAGAGTCTTTCAATTCAAGTATAAGCTACTTTGGTGGTTAGATAAATGTTCTATTACTATCCTCTTCAATATCTTTTCTTATGCTTGGATCTTACTATGAATCTTATGTTTGCTAAAACTAAGATGGTCGTAAAGGAGATATGCTAATCTATTTGAACTAACTCAGTTTTTTGCTTTGCTATTTTTCTCTATTCTAATATTTAGCTTTTGTCTAGTCTAATGATGTAAAATCTTCTTCAAAACTATCAATTGATTGATTAAGCATTTTAATATGCTTGGATCTCTAAATGGTCTCTTCGTCTATCATTTATTATCTTTGCTTAAAAGTAAAAGTCTTTAACTAATTTTTCATGCTTGGTGTTTTAAAATCTGGTATTTTTTTTAAAGATTCTACTTGCAGATTTAATTTTGACTTACTTTTGATTTTACTTGGACTTAGAGCTCCAGATTCTTATGATTAAAGCAACTTTATATTTTCGAGTTTAAAGTCTTTAACTTTGAACCTCTTTTCAAACTATTGGTCTATTTTCCTTTATTTATCTATTGTTAGTACCTGCTTAGAATCCTCGTTGTTATAGTCCTTTATCATGTCAGAATTTTTTATAGAGACTTAACGCAAGCTGTATGGTGGCTATATACTTTATCTAATGGGTGATCCAGGATTACTTTCTTGGCTAATATATCTTGGAGTATTAACCATAGTGTAGTATTTTTTCTTTTTTTTCTACAAGTCATCATAATCATCTATTTACGATTTATTAATCCTGCGAAGATCAGGTAGTTTGAAGGAATCTTTTCCATTCTCAGTAGTATCATCCATATCATCGTCCTCTTATTCTTCGTCATTAACACTGTCTCTATTAAATCTTTTTTACTTATCAATTCTCTCAGCTACTGATTGTAACTGTAAGTCTGTTTCGTAGGTTCTATGTATTTTTACTTATGTAAATTCTTGCTTTAACTTTGCAAAGCTTTGTTATGCGATGTTAGTATTCAGAGATTGAATACTCGCTTTATCACTTGAAGTATCATTCTTAAACATAGGAGTTCTTAAGATATCTTATTTATTAAACTTTAAATGATTTTATTTCTCTTTTGTTTTTTACTTGAACACTTAGTCAGAGTCTAATTGCTCTTGATTGACCATAATTTCTTTTAATCTTTCTTGTTTGTCCTCAAACTCCTCGACAAACTTAGTAAGCTCTTGTTTCCTATTAATCTTCAATTTGAGAGTACTTTATAGAATGTTATGATCAATATTTTTATTAACCTTATAAAGATAGTTTTTGCCGTCTCCATATTCTCTTATATCAACTAAATTGCTTTTGGAAGATGGACTAACTTTCCCAATTAAGGGTTAGAAAGCCCCAGTAATATTTGGAAGATGCTTATACTCATCCTTTACTTCTTTTTTATTCGTTTCAGAATTATTATCGATTTAAAATTTTTAGATGTCTGCCATTGTAGTCTCATGGAGATCAATCGATTATTATTGCATCGTTGATTGCTTTAATATTTATATTTCCTTTTAATTGTCGCTCAAAATTCAATTACTGGGGTTTTGGGGTTTTGGGGTTTTGGGG